GCATTTAATACACAGAGCTGTAGATCACTGCTATATCGCGTTCATAATCGCAGATGAGTCGCATTCGATTATGACCGCGATATTGCATAGCTTGTCAGTGTAAGTGTTTTTATTTATGCCATTAATGTTTTTGTTAATACAGAGTATAGCACTAGTCAACGAAATGAATGTAACATGGCAAAGATGAATGCACTTTTGGAAGTTGAATGTAAGGGAAATGTCATTTTGGAATTTCTGTGGTTTAATGTGATATTGTTGTTCATGATGAAATTTTCTTTTATTGTTGTAATTAATTTATAGCATTAACAAGATGACCCGTTCAATTCTTTTTGGAGCTATGACTGATTGAATGTAATTTTAGTTCAGTGCCTTGATTAGTATCGACCAAGTTCAGAGGCTGTCATATGTGTATGTCTATGTTGTGTATTTTCAACAGTTTCAATATGAAAAATAACTTTTATATTAATTCAATGGATTTATTGCATTTTGGAAAAAAAAAAAAGTGTCATGGATTTATTGCATTATGGGGAAAAAAAGAATACAAGTTTATAATAAATCTTTGAAAATCAAAATCTGGATTTTTAATGTTATTATAACCTAAAGATGCTATGTGAAAGTTTGAAACCGAAAATAGTGGTTTTCATCTTGCCACTTTCTTGGTAAAGAAAACAGATTTTTACTCAAATTAATCAAAATGGACTTATAGCGTTTTGGAACTATATATATATATATATAGATATATAGATAGATAGATACACATATTATATTTTGATATATAACTTTTTTATCGAATATCTACTTTCCATTTAATAAGCTACTACTGCTACTACAGATGAAATTATTTACATTTTATTTTACTTTGAACCACTGTTATTTTATTTTATTCACACTGCTATTTTAATTTATCGTACAATTTCTAATTTTACGACAGCAAATACAAAGTTTTTGTCTTGACAATAAAACACTAAATTTGAAAAAGTGACATACAGAGAGAGAATAAAAGTAAAAGTAACAGAGAAAGAAAGGCTTTGGGAGCCCATGTGTGCAACTTTTCTATCTTTTGATTTCCTCATTCATTTCATCTCCAACAAAACTGCCACAGTGAACGCTTTTCTGATTCATGCCAAAATGATTCAGTCTGAAAGCAAATCCAACAATTTCTGAAATCTGTTCCCAAAAAAACAAACAAAAAAACCCTTTATGCCCTCCAACGCTCTGCCGTCTCTTTACCCGACAGAAACGCACACACTTTTCTCTGGCTGCATGCTGCTCTTGTCTCTCTCTCTCGCTCTCTCTCGCTAGCAGTTTTGCAGCATTCTATTCCCCTGCCAGCAAAAGAACCGACTTCAATTCCAGCTTTATTGCTGTTCACTGTTATTACACAGAGTGTGAGCAATGTCATCCACAGGACTGATCACATCAGCCCTCCCTTCTTTTAATCTATCTATCCATCCCTCCCTCCACTCACTCTTTTTCTATTCAGTTATTTCACTCCTTTTTTTCCGAAACCCTTCATCCATGCTGACCTGTTACAATTTGCCGTTCTCCTCCATACATCTTTTTTGCTTTTTTCTGATTTATTCACTTGTTTAACAACCTCTCTTTTCAGAAAACATTAGTTTGCTTCGCATTAGTTGCATTATTGCCCAATCAAGCAGGAACGGAGAGTTAAATGTTGCTTTATTACCTGACAAACACTGTCAAAATGAACTCATCGTCTCATATTCCTGGATGCCCTCACCGTGTATGGGAAATGAATTTCATATTCTATCTGCCAAAGTTCTATTTGACGCGACACTGGCTGTATAACCCAGCTGTTGTGTTTACAGAAATGGTTTTCTGAGAAGTAGATAGATAAGTAATGGCTGCCTACGCTCATTTGAGGTGATTAGCTCAATGCACTTGTGCGTCTGGTAATGACAGAAAATATGCAAGCAAATCAATTTAGGCACCAACAAATGAGTCAATTTCTGTTTCAAATTAACTCAGGTAATCTGGCTGTATAATGTGTGAATTATTCCCAACATAAATTCAGACATAATGAAGATGAGAAGAAAAAAAAACTCAATCAAGGGTAAAATGGGTTCTCAGACCAAAGTTCTTTTATGCAATTTTAAGCGCACACAGTTTCGTTTAAGCGTTCATTCATTCATTCACTCACTCATTCATTCATTTGTAGGGTTTATGGAAAGCCTCCATTTAGATAATCCCTAGTTAAATGTGTGTGCATGCCATAAAAGGGCAGAGTTTGAAGAACATGAGTGTTTCTAAAGCATGATCATTTTGAGAAACCAGAAGATTTATATAAACAAACAGGAATTCAGTTCACCTGTAGGTCCCAGAGATGAGGTGCCCGGCAGGTGTAGAACATCTTGAGTCTCTCAGTGACGGGACAGTTCTTCTCACTAAAGAAATCCACCAAGGTCTGAAAGAGAACAAAGTGACGTTTAGAACACTTCCAGTCTCATTTTTCAACCATTGCTGCTTTCTCCAAAGACATTTTTCTCTTCTGCCATTGCGATTATGGTGAAATAACGCAGATTTTCCTCAGAATTCACTACAAGAAAACAAGGTAGTTCACAGAACTGAGCAGCCATGAGCAAGGATTTCAAATCATGAACTTGTGGAGAAACAACAGCCGAGCAGCTCTCTCCAAGTATTACAGACCTCCGTGGAACACAAAGACATTAATATAAAGAGCATTTTAATGCGCTTAAGGTTTGGTGATATGTGATATGTGATCATGTTAAAAACACCCTTAAGCAAATAATATGCATTGCGGTGCAAACAATTTAAAAACTATTCCAGTGACTCAACCATTCACATTAAGACCTAAATATATTTTCCAATCAGTAACAAGAAGATGGAAAAAAGTGACTGAGATGCATAAAACTATAAAAATTCCAAATTCCAAGAATGACGGCAATAACAAATAGATGTGCCAGCACATGCCAAAATGACAGCATCTTCATTTAATTTTTTTTCTGAGATCCCTCTCTGCTCTCCATGGAGAAACGCTACAGGGTTTGACTGCTGCGTAAACTCAGTTAAAACATGTGCAGGCCTGCTGTTTGAGACTCTAGTAAAAAGATCAACACTCATTCTGTTCACAAACCATATTTCAACATTTCAAAAAGCAATAAGACAAAACACAATAACACAACGCAGCTGTGTATGACATGCAAACAAGGCCGCAAACACAAATTAGAAGCATCGTTGCCTGAAAATAACAGAGAGAGCACAAAATGTGGTTTTTGGTCATTACCCTACAAATTTTTAATTGACACCCCCAACTGTCAATCATTATGAACATATGGACTGCAAGCAGAACTAAAATGAAGAGAAGACAGGAAAATTGTGCCATACTGTACCAGCTTGAATATCTCCCCCCAAGATGCTGTAAATAACTTCATGTGGAACTGATGTCTGCAACATTTGAGTTCCAGAACATTTCAAAATCAAGCTAAAGAAAAGAAATGCTACATATTCCAGAAAATGCATTTTTTTGAACTGACAACAAAATGCAATAAAGAAGTAATTTTCCAGCTTTGGTTGGGGGTTCACTTCGGAAGAAATTCATCTGGAAATAAAACTTCCGACTGAGTAGATACGATCAGTTTCTATGGAGGATGGCAAAGCTCATCTGCGGGTAGCAGATAACTAATTACTTAGCATTTCCATGGCTGGAAAATGTCTCAAATATATAAGTGCTAATCTACCGATCAGGAAGGGTTGAGGGAGCAGCTGAGAAATGAATTCCGATGTGGAAGAGCACCACGACCGCCCAGTAAACACGCATATCACCGCGACGTCTATTAGACAGTGCATCATCTTTAAGCATCACAATTTTTTTAACAATTTTTGTGCACCTAACATCTGATGTAGCTTTGAAAATTAAAATATTTGAAATAAATATTTCACTCAAATGAAAAATATTTATTTTTACATCAAGATGTTTTAAAGCCAATATGCTGTTATTTGATATCTAAGAAGATATACAAATATTATTAAAATATATAAATTACATATAAATTCTATCATAATTTTTACTGAATTAATTAAACCAGTACATTTGAATCTAAAATCCAAGAGTGTGCTTTTAAGGTGTACCCAGTATTTCTTTTATTAAAGAAAGAACAATCAACTAAAAAGCATCTTTGAGGACTTATAAAACCATTAATCAGTTGTCAGTCAAAATAAATAATGCACCGCATGCAAACAGTGCCGGAAAACTGAAACACACAGTAATAACTAACAGAGTTATTGAAACATGCCACTGAAACTGTGGATAAAGGTACAGATTTAGATACACATCTTCCATTGATTTTATGTGATGGAAAACTCAAAAATGACACCACAATGACTAACAAAGTTATACTTGAGCTCTCTCTGCTCACGCCTTTTACAAAATGGGCCAAAGGAAACTCCCCCACAGTTGACAATTTGGCAGTTTAGTTTGGATTACATGTAAACCTTTCCATGGAGGAACTCCAAGAGCCAAATACAGCGGCAGGAGGAAATTACATCACTGAGCACACTTCATGACTCGGCATACTTTAAGAGAGCAGGACAAGAATAGCCCCTATGGAAACTCAAAATTCATTCACAGCAATTTAAATGCAATCTAGCAGTAAAGTAGAAGAACCATAACTGCTTTAGCACTTTGTATTAGTAAAACTAGGCTAGTAGTACTTTTTAAAGACCTAACTAAAATCAAAAGTTATCAAGAGTTATGAGGCTTTCTGGTTCATGCCTGTGTAGCTCTGAGATCATCCATATGCTAGTGTATAAAACAAAATAACATAACATAAAACATAACATAAAACAACAAAACAAAATATAAAACAACAAAACATAACATAACATAAAACAAAAAAACATAACATATAACATGACATAACATATAACACTTAGCATAACACATAACACATAACACATAGCATAACACATAACATATAGCATAACATATCAAATATGATGTAACAACATAACATATATTTTAGGAAGTACACTGGACAATTCCTGATCATAACCAAACTAAAAACAGACTTTCGTGTAAGTTTAGTTTAAAACTGGGCTGGTTCACTGAGAAAAAGGAAGCTAAAATTGATTAAGATGATGAAAATACTTTATGTCTAGTCAGTCACTTGTCATATATTTATACATGCAGTGTGCATCTGTTGTAGATTATATATATATATATATATAAAAAACATCTCTCCAGTGAATTACTTCGACAAAACAGTTTTTCTGCTCCAAAAATACGCAATGAAGTCTCTTTTATTTCTTCTCTCAACGTTGCCATGAGAAGCCTAAATCCATACCAAAGACCCAAGCTTCCAACTTCTATTTCAGGGATATTATTGATTAAGCACTGAAATTGAATTTTACGTTCAGAGAAATCTATTTCATCCAGTGCCTGATCGGAGTAAATGAAAAATAAGAGGGTGGCAGCCGATAGCGTGTGGTGTAAGCCCCGCACATGCAAATTGTGCAATCACAAAGAGCGCCTCTATTCCAACAATGCACCAGACTCTGCCATTCTGAATATACAATGGGAATAAAAAGTTTTCTGAAGTTCTGGCCCACTCCGTGGCCTAGATACTGGCGGCTCTAAACTGTGAGAAAAATGCAGAGCACATAGGCGAAGTGCCTCTCTGCCATTTCTGAATACATACTCTGCACTCTTGATCTCAGAAGAAAGGCCAGAGGAGGCAGAGGAAATTAAGTTTGTTAAGTACCGCAGTGAAACTCGAACCGCAGCGAGACAGAGGAGATAAGAGTCTCTGCAATAGTCACAGAATGTCACGACTGTTCAGGATGGAAACAAAAATCTTTCTGGATTGATTATATTATCTGTGAAGTTGATGAGTATTTATGAATGATTGAGTGAAAATGTTCAGTATGTTCCTGGAATTCACTCAATCAAGAACAAGAATTTCAGCCATTAATGGAGGCCTGTGTCAGCAGCTAAACATGCAATAAAATTGCCTGGAAAATGGCTTTATTAATCAAGGAGCTTGTAAGTCAAACTCTATAGCGCCACCATCACCACAAAATTAGAAACATTTACAGTTTCATCAGAATCTAAACAAAATGACTGCAAACAGTCGCCGATGCTTAAGGCAACACACAATATTAAGAACAAAGCCTATGTAAACTTTCGTAGGGCACAATTTGTACAAATCAAGTTATCATCATCTTGTAGAAAGAATATATGCTAACATCTTTTATATAGCTTCTTCAGGGCAGTACTGAAACAATTTTTATGATCTTATTTTTCAAATTGAAATCACTCTTATTAAAAAAAAGAGCTAAACACATTCCATATTTGGCTAAAGGGCATGCAAACGTTTGAGAAAAGAGAGGCATGTAAACTGTATGTGGATTTGAACTTCAACAAAGCACTACCTGACTTTCTTCAACATTTTCCTCTCTCTCCCTCATCTTTTTAACTTTGTTAAAAGTGTTTGGTCCTTCTTCACTCATCTGAGAGTGTGCTGTCACTCTCTCGCCATTGTTCCGGGGTCCTGCTCAGCTGGGACTGAACTCGCCTGGAACCATGTTCCTCTAACTCTGTGATGGACAGGTGCTTGTGTGACTTGCTGTGATCTCCTGTCAGACTCAAACTTGCCCCTCAGGGTGGCCTCAAAGAGTCAGCCTCCCCTAATGATCTGTCACATTGAGTTTTGGGATGTCAGAGAACAGCTTAAACACTTAAAACTTAAAGGAAGGAAAAAAGCAATCAAAAAAAAAAGTAGAGCAATGTGTCACACTGAACTCTGCTCACTAATAACCTTCCATCAGTCATATGTTCATACAGAAAGTGTCTCTATAGGCTCTTAACTGATGATTAACTTCAGCGCTCATGGTCATGTCTATGGGCATCACTTGAACTCAAAAAGAGGGATGTCATCATCAGCCACAGCAAAAGGACAGAGTTTAACTACTGCAACACTTCTTTATCTGTGTTTTGTCAGCAGCAGACAGTGCTAATAACAATAACAATAAGTAAAATAGAAACAAGTAGTACTACTACTACTACTAATAATATAAATGGATTGAAATGTATAATTGTATAATTATTAATGTATAATTAATATAATTTGGTGTTTCCCACTAGAGTTGTTTATAATAATAAAAATAATGTGTCTCACTACAGTAGATTTAGGCAGACAGGCGTGTTTTCCCTAGACTACATTTTAATTTATGACCATTTAAGAAGCCCTGCCATTCAAATATGACTGATGACTCCATAAACTTAAACCATAACCTGAGCAGTAAATCCCTTTCAGAGCAGAACAGATGCTTCTGAACAGCTATATAATGTCTCTGTGTGGTAAGATGGATTTACACAGAGGACAGAATGTGTCAGTCCTACAAAGAACAAATTACAATAAATAAAAAAAAATTCCAATCTGGAATAATGGACAAATGAACCAGTTTCTTTGACAATGTGACAAGTCTTTCTGCTCCTCAGAAAGTCATTGGAAGCCGTACTTAATTTGATCAAGAGGACAAGAAGGGCCAGGCTGTCCCGTTTCCTCCGCGACAAATCCCATTCTCCAATCCTCCCTAAAATCCCCCCCACACACAAATGCACAAGAATACACACCGAACATTTCAGCACTTCTTTGGTTTTACTGTTCTGGATTTCCTCAGTAAAACATGGACACAAACTGTCATGACAAATGACAGAGGAAACGGGAAGCAGCCAAAGGGGAGCTAAAGCATCCTACTCCCTCTGGCTTATCTGTCCATTTCTCTTGCACACACACAAATGCAACAAAAACAACAGAAGGAAATCTGGGATCTCATTTCTCTGGGTGTTTTAAAATTGTGAAACTATTACACTGAAGCCAGTAAATGTATGAATCAGCATTCTGAATGAAGTGTCACTTCCTTACAGCTCATTAAAGAGAAGAAATGTACAGTCTGTGACTAAAACCATGACTACGGAGTCTCTGGCTCCTAGAATGAAACAAGAAGTGGTTTTTAAGTTTATTTCATGTTTTTAAAATAAGTCTTTTATGTTCACCAAAACTGCATTTATTTGTATATTGTGTGAATATTGTGAAATATTACCACTATTAAAAACAACTGTTTTCTATTTTAATGTTTTAAAATGTAAATTATTGTACTGCTTAATATTTTTGTGAAAACTGTGATACATTTTTTCCAGCATTTTTGATTAATAGAATGTTCAAATGAAATAGAAATGAATCTGAATATCTTCAGTAGCAATTTTGAACTGTGTCTTACCTGTGTTTGCATCATGGCACGTTCAACTCTCCGTGAGCTTCCTCTCTCCAGCTTAGTCCTCAGGCACAGTGATGTCACTTCCACTGCCCAGAACTTTGGCTGAGACAGCAAACACTGAGGAAGAAAGAGAGACATGAAAATATCACTCAGGGTGACAAAGATTTTTCACACCCCCATTTTCATGCATATGAAATCATATGTGCAACTGTATCGTAAAGCAAGAAGAGAAATTCCTCTCACATTCTCAACCACAGTGACAGCAATCATACAAATACCACACTATTTTTAAAAAGTTATCTACAACACACATCCCCGACAAACACACACCACTCCCTGCTTACAGAGACATGAGCGTTCGCTGGCCTGTATCACATCAGCAGAGCAGCAGGTAAGCAAGGGTTAGTGGACTCAACCCGTCTTAACTGGAGCAAGACTGACACGTCAATACTGAATATATGAGGTGTCTGTTTAAAACAGCACAAGGCATTCAAGAACTCTAGAAACACACATCTGCGCATGTGAAAAGGATTTTAAGTGGTAAATGCAAGGCTGTATATACTATTGAGCAAACCTTTGCATATTTACATTTATGCATTTGGCAGATGCTTTTAAAACAAAGTGACTTCCATTGTATTCAAAAGCATCACATTTTTTTTAATCAGTTCTTTGCTAGCGATGACCTTGTCATTGCTAGCGCCATAGTGCCTAGGGCGGGACAGATCACGATGCCGGCTCAACATCGTGATGTCTGTCAGCCATCGGCGATGGACGATGGCATCGTCTATCGGCCCAACCCTAATGGCCAATACTCAATTAGCAATAATAAATAAAGAAAAATACTACAAAATGTATATACATATTATATAAAATTTATATAACAAACTAACACAATAAATATAAACACCAAAATAAAAATATAAATACACTAAAATGAACAAACAAATGCTACAAGTGAATTTAGGGCATTGCAATATCATATTACACAGTATAAATTTATATTCATTTAGAGATTTGCTTATGATTACATTTAACAGTGTTAATAATTAAATAACTAATTAAATAAATAATGTTTTTAAATATTAACTCTAAATGAGTGTTAGATCATGGAAAAGGCCATCTAAAACGTAAAAATAGATTGTTTACAATGATGGAGGGACCCAGGCCACATCTAGTTCAAATATGTGCTTGTACATCTTTATAAGATTAAAATAAATCAAAAGTTAAATAAGCAAGCAGTCATTTAGCGGATGATTTTATCCTAAGTGTCTTACAGTACACTTAATACAGATGCTGGCAACAACTGAAATGCCAAAAATATTCCTTATATTGATTAAACAAATGCTTAAAACGAGAAATCGAGGCTCTGAAATGTGAAGAGGAATTAGTGGCAGCAACAGTGATCAGATCATGGGATCACAGCGCCAACAATAAGAGAAAGACAATAGTAAGTCTACCCAGAGTTCAGCAAGTCAATAAGAGACAATAAACCACTGTCAGACCCATGAGCAGTGAGCTAACTTGGGAGAGACAGAAGAGGAGAAAGGGAGAGGAAGGGTTGATCCTGGCCTTCTTGGACAGCAAGAAAGAGTATGAGTAATGGAGTATTTGTAGTCAATAAACACACACACACACACACACACACACACACATATACTGTAGACACACATACAGGTGCATCTCAATAAATTAGAATGCCATGGAAAAGTTCATTTATTTCAGTAATTCAACTCAAATTGTGAAACTCGTGTATTAAATAAATTCAATGCACACAGACTGAAGTAGTTTAAGTCTTTGGTTCTTTTATTTGTGATGATTTTGGCTCACATTTAACAAAAACCCACCAATTCACTATCTCAACTAATTAGAATACTTCATAAGACCAATAAAAAAACATTTTTAGTGAATTGTTGGCCTTCTGGAAAGTATGTTCATTTACTGTACATGTACTCAATACTTGGTAGGGGCTCCTTTTGCTTTAATTACTGCCTCAATTTGGCGTGGCATGGAGGTGATCAGTTTGTGGCACTGCTGAGGTGGTATAGAAGCCCAGGTTTCTTTGACAGTGGCCTTCAGCTCATCTGAATTTTTT